GATGGATAGATGGATGGATGGATGGATGGATGGATGGATGGATGGATGGATGGATGGAAGAGAGAGAGAGATAATAGGAAGGAAAAAGAAATATGGATATAGGTATATGTATTCCTCAACTTACGATGACAATTGAGCCTCAAATTTCTGTTGCTAAGTGAGACATTGATTAAGGGAGTTTTGCCCCTTTTTATGACCTTTCTAGCCACCGTTGTTAAGCGAATAATTGCAGCTATTAAGTTAATAACACCGTGGTTAAGCGAATCTGGCTTCCCCATTGATTTTGCTTGTCAGAAGGCTGCCAAAGGCGATCACATGATGTTGGGACACAGCAACGGTCGTAACTACGAACCAGTTTGCCAACCATCTGAGTTTTGATCCCGTGATCATGGGGGCTGCTGAAACGGTTGCAAGTGAGAAAAATGGCCTTAACACTCTTTTTTTCAGTGGCGTCGTAACTTTGAACGGTCCCTAAACGAACTGTCGTAAGTCGAGGACTACCAGTATTTGGCCCCAGGGGCTATAAAGGTAAGTAACTTTGGCTGCCATCCACTGTGGCTCCCATTCTAGTTATTTTTAAAGTTTTAAAACAGTTTCCTTGGCCAAGTATTTCTTGCTTTAGACTTCTAGCATTCAACACACGCTAATTTAACAAGGCTGCAGGGGCTTGATTTGAATTCCTGCTGCTTGTAAACGCACCCGAAAGAAGTGTGGAATAAAATGCCAGACCAGGGAAGGGGGGGGAGAGGAAGAAGGGGTTGTTCTGTTCCAAGCTGGGAAAGTACAAACTGCCACCCTGGGCATGGAATAGCTGGCAGTGGCCCCTCCACCCATTTATGCAGTGGTATAAATCATACAGAATACAGAATAACAGAGATGGGAGGGACTTTGGAGGTCTTCTAGTCCAACCCCCTGCTCAGGCAGGGGATCCTATCCCATTTGACAGGTGGCTGTCCAGTCTTTTCTTTAAAATCTCCAGTGTTGGAGCACCTACAAGTTCAGGTGGCAAGCGGTTCCACTGGTTAATTGTTCTCCCTGTTAGGAAGTTTCTCCTTAATTCCAGGTTGCTTCTCTCCTTGGTTAGTTTCCACCCATTGCTTCTTGTCCTGCCCTCTGGTGCTTTGTGGAGAATAGCTTGACTCCCTCTTCTTTGGGGCAGCCCCTGAGATATTGGAAGACTGCTATCATGTCTCCCCTAGTCCTTTTCATTAAACTAGACATCCCCAGTTCCTGCAACCGTTCTTCCTATGTTTTCGCCTCCAGTCCCCTAATCCTCTTTCTTGCTCTTCTCTGAGCTCTTTCTAGAGTCTCCACATCTTTTCTACATCGTGGCGACCAAAACTGAATGCAGTATTCCAAGTGTGGCCTTACCAAGGCCTTAAAAAGTGGTACTAACACTTAATGATGTGATCATGTCATCCAGCCCTCTCAATTCCTGGCCAATAGATGGGGAAGAAATGGAGGGAGGGACAGATTATATTTTCCTGGGCTCCAAGATCACCGCAGATGGGGACGGCAGCCAAGGAATTAAAAGAGGCTGGGAGTCGGGCGGCCTCTAAATTAAAAAAATATATATTATAGTCCTGTGTAACAGGGCTATCCGTCAATCTGGAGACTTGGACCTCCATTCATATTTTGGGGAGGTCCAGGTTTTCAAATCGGTGAGTATGGGTAGATTTGCCACCTATGAAATAGCAAGTAATTACTGTAGTAGGAGATTAAAAGAGGCTTGCTCCTGGGGAGGAAAGCGATGGCAAATCTAGGCAGCATCCTAAAAAGCAGAGACATCACCCTGCCAATCAAAAGTGCCTCTAGTCAAGGCTGTGGTTTTCCCAGTTGCAAAGGATGGCTGTGAAGGTGGACCACAAGGCAGGCTGAAGAATGGAGGCCTTTGAATTCTGGTGCTGGAGAAGACTCCTGCATTGAGTCCCTTGGACTGCAAGGCCATCCAACCGATCAGTCCTAGAGGAGATCCACCCTGGCTGCTCTTTAGAAGGCCAGATCCTGAAGAGGAGACTCAAAGACTTTGGCTACCTGATAAGAAGGAAGAAGGACTCCCTGGAGAAGAGCCTCATGCTGGGAACGACGGAGGGCAGAAGAAGAAGAAGGGGACGACGGAGAAGGAGGGGGCTAGATGGAGTCACCGAAGCAGTCGGCCTGAGCTTCAATGGACTCCAGAGGATGGGAGAGGACAGGAAGGCCTGGAGGAATGTGGTCCATGGGGTCGGACACAACTTCACAACAACACTTCATGTGATCTTGATTTTATCCTTCTGTTAATGCAGCCTGTAACTCTGTTGGCTTTTTGGGCAGCTGCTATAAACGGCTGGCTCATAGTTAAGGGATTGTCCACTAGGACTCCAAGATCCCTCTCACAGTTACTACTATAGGATACCACCTATGCTACGTACTTGGGCATTGGGTTTTCCTTGCCTAAATGTAGAACCTTACTTTTTTTCTCCCACCATTGAATTTCATTTTGTGGGACGGTGCCCTGGGTTCAAGTCTGTCATTTTTCAAGACACCCCCCCGCCCCCCCAGGCCAGTGGAGGGCAGCTGCTGGTAGACCCTCGGTCAAAAGACCCAGGCACTCACTCAGCGCTCGGGAGTGGTCCGGGTTCCGGATCCCTTTGGCCCTCAGCTTCTGCAGCAACGTTACCGAGGTCAGCTGCTTCACCAGGTAAACAGAGAGGGAGTAATTCTGCAGGGAGAAAACGCAAGATTAGGTTTAATCTGAAGAAGCTGGGCCTGACTCAACATTGATAAATGAATGTACTTATTGAAGCAAGAGGCTTCATTCTGGGTTGGCTAGTTCCTTGAGTCATTTCAAGCAGAGTTTTAGAATAGAATAAGAGAGTTGGAAGGGGCCTTAAGAGGTCTTCCAGTCCAACCCCCTGCTCAGGCAGGAAACCCTACACCACTTCAGACAAATGACTATCCAATCTCTTCTTAAAAACTTCCAGACAAACATAGATTAAGAGGGAAATTAAAGTGCGGATAACATAATTATATTTAAAAAATTAAGAAAGAAAAAGATTAGATAGTCCTCAATTCACAACAATCCAATTAGTGACCAAAGATAGAATCGTGTAGGGATGGGATAGGGATAAGAATAGAATAGAATAGAATAGACCAGACTAGGGAATAGAATAGAATTCTGAATAGAATGGAATAGAATTCTGAATAGAATAGCACAGAGTAGAATTAGAATAGGAAAGAAAAGAATTCAGAATAGAATGGAATAGAATTCTGAATAGAATAGCACAGAGTAGAATTAGAATAGGAAAGAAAAGAATTCAGAATAGAATGGAATAGAATTCTGAATAGAA